CGCGTCCTCGCGTTTTCCCCCCCCCCCCCTCCCCCGACACCTCGGGGCATGTGTGTACGACTCTGCGACAAAGTACCACGTGTGTATGTGCCTTAACAAATGGCGTTGCGTTTGGGAGGATATGACGATTATGACAAAAGCTCGCGAATTTTCCCCGTGCGAGGGTTTTGTTTCCGCGGGACTCGTTGGGATGCATCGTTTCAAACAAAAAAAAAAAGCGCGACGTAACGCCACTTATGAATGAACGAAATTCATGCCGATTCCTGCTACTCCGATGAATCGCACGCCCTTGCGTTCACCTCGTGTTAATCATTAAATTTGTCAAAGGTGCATATACACATGAGTCGCACCTCGGTACATCATATTATATATTATTATTATACACAATTGGGAAGAGTCGTGATATCGCGCATCAGCTTACATATATATATATATATACAGACTAGAGATGCGCGTCACGCGGTGCATTTATATATATGAGTCCAAGTACCGCGGGTATAACTCTCGGCGCGACTTAAGCGGGAAATGGCCAATTACTTTGGTGATAAAGCCCCTAGGAGACGACGGAGCGCGTGGGCACACTTTGCTCCCTTTCTCCGCGTGATGTCTGTCTTTCTTTCTCGCTTTGTGCCATCAGCCTATCTCTCTCTCTCTCACTCTTCAAAGCCTACTTTTCTCCCTTCCTCTCTCGAGCTTTGACTTCCTTTTGGCTGATGTGCACTCCTCTTTTGCCGTGCATGCGGCACCATCCTCCTCCTCCTCTGCACGATGGGTCGGAGAGAGGGAAACAGGAAAATAGCCGACGCCAGCTAGTCGGCTGCCCCGCAACAAATATCTACGTGATACTGTACAAACGAGGCGGTGTCCTCTCCCTTTGCCGCCTACCGTACTACAAATTACAATATCTCGTGTCGTCCTTCTACTCTCGGAAATATACTTGCAGTGCAATTACAATGTTTAAAAAGATGCTTGGGGGGGGGGGGGGTTTCCCTTCAAAGTTTCGAAAAATAATTATCGTCATGAGTATACGTGTGTCGCGCAGTTACGAGCTTTGACACTTTGTAGTGCTCCAAAGGACCGATCAATCTTCTCGAGGATACATTTACACACGTCCATACGGTCCTGCTAACCGTATATAATAATATTATGCTGCTCGATTTACATGTGCCCGTGCAAATAATACAAACGGATATGGGTGTAATATTGCGAAGTGAGTGAGTTTATAATTTCAAATTTGCCGGGTTGGTCATTAAAAACCGATGGGACTTTAATTACAATGTATATCGCGTGTAATTTGTATCCTCAATCGAGATACTACATCCTTGATCGCTTTCACTTTATTGACGAAAAAGGAAAAAAAAAAAAAAAAAAAAAAAAAAAATTCATTCGCGCGTCCCCGTGCGGATGATGAAGGAGAGAGCCAGTGGGCACACGCACACACATATTACTCATACTTATACTGTTCGGGGGAGGAATCGAGCACACGTGCTTACACTTACACGCGCCCACATATACTTGTACAACCCACCTAAAATTCAATTCAATACTCTTATACATTACCAATATCGCGCTTAAAATTCCCGGCCCGTTATAATAACGCGCTCTTCTCGACAAGCGCGCCCCAAAGTAAAAGAAAGAGGGGCCGTTCGCCCGGGCACCAGATGTTCCTTTTCCTCATTCTCATTCCACGCTCGTTTCCTCCCTCATTTGCTTTCGTGCTCGCGCGCACCGCCGATGCCTTCTCTCTTCGCATCAGCAAAAGCACCAAGTTTGTATAGGTGCCTTCGCAGGGATAAAGATACACACACATACTTACACTGTTGTACATCATATTATACATCACACAATACATAACCCAAAGAGACACTCTCTCGTTTTCCCTTCGTCTCGCGGAATAATATGTAGGTCGTTGTCGTCATCGGCGTTGTATCCCCCTTTTGCTGCATGTTCCGCATACACACATATATGTGTATGTTTATAGTGTACAGGCATGTTGCAAGCTATTGGCGTGACTGTCACAATACCTGCTAAGGATTTTCATTTGTATATTGAGGAAACAATTTTTTCCATTTTTTTTTTTTTAATTTGAAAAAATTGGGGGAAAAAACTTACTGTCATTCGGATGAATCAACCACTTCTGTAGATTTGACGGGGCAATCATGTGGGTCAAATTACATGGCTTGACCAACAAAATTTACAACTTGTACAGCAACTTCATGACAAATGACTCTTAAAAACAAACAAATGAAAAATCCATGCTGTCAATCTCGCCCCTGCAGCAAAGCAGACGACAAAAATCTGTTGTACTTTATTAAGTCGCAAGTATAGCCAATACGCAAATATTATAAAGTGCCATTGAAAACCCTATTGTCCTACATGCGTCATGTTACTTGCGCGTAGAGTAAAAAAAAAAAAAAAAAAAAAAACGCAATCAGCGTCAAATATGGAGAGCAGTAAAGGTACTTACCATACATTACGTCAACGTATAAAGCGCACCTGAGTCACTCGACGGCGCGCCACTGTAGTTAAGAGCGATGATGACACGGCGCCAACAAAACCCAGGGCTGATGGGGCTTCCCCGTATATAGTAGTTCGTATACTGCTATCACAGCCAATTGGCCAAGATTGGGACCCATTGCCAGCACTGGAAATTAATGAAAATCATCTACTTATTCTTCGCCTCCTTCTCCTCTCTGTACCTACGTGAGTAACTACTTTACGCATTGCGAATCACGCATTGTATAAGTATAATGGCTTGCGTCACGTTGCGTTATCTCTCCTCTCCTTTCGTCGAAACGAAGCTAATAGGGCCCATACACACTTACCTATGTGTTGTACAATGTGCAGAGACGACTATACATATATATATATATATATATACATGCAGGGTGTACGTATATTATGTATAAGGCCGGTACAACATATACTAATGCAAAGAGAGCAAAAGAGAGGAATAGGATACTTAGGGAGAGAGAAGCCGCGTGCCTCTGCTACTGCACGCGGAGAGCGCATCCATGCAGAGAGTCATCTCATCTCAGCGTGTGCCGCGCGAGAGAAGCGTGCCAGGCGTGTGCACACGTCCCACCTGCCTGTGTCCTCCACAGCAGCAGCACTGCAGCAGCCGTACCCATATATGTATATATGTATATATATATAGGTATGCGTATGGCGCAGTAGTATAGGCCGCAGTAACAACCGGCAGTCCGGCAGTCAGTCGCGCGAACACTCTCATATCAAGTTAGTAGGAGAGAAGACCATCATCAGCAGCAGCAGCCCTTTTAGACGGCGTCCTTTTCTCTTGTTTCTCTCTCACATCGGGCCCACACTCCTCCATAAAACATATACTCCCTCCTCTCGTTTGCCGTCCGTCCTCGTGCATCGGTGATTATTTGTGTGCGTATGTGTGGTGTGTGCATTTACAACATGTATACATGTATACATTGTATACATGTACATAGGATATAATACATATATATTATACATACATATACAACATACACACATGTATAAGAGTTTTTATAGTGATCCTCTGTATACTAAAGGCAGGCGCGTGCACTCGGTGTTTGGTTACAGGGAGGCGGCGGCACGTGCGTCGCTTTAGAAGTAGCAGCAGCAGCAGCAGCAGCAGCACGACGACGGCGGCGGTGGTGGTGGCGGCAGCGGAGCCAGGTGCTAGTAGCAGAAGCAACCCCACACCGGCAGCCTGCGGCACAGCCGGCGTCCTGCATCAGCAGCCAAAGCCAGCGCCAGTCATGGATACGAGCCAGCAGCAAGAGCTGGACCTCAGCTCGAGCAGGAGCTGTTGCCGCTGTCAGCTCGAAGAACCATTGTCGTCGTCGTCGTCATCGTTATCGTCATCATCTTCGTGGTCGTCGTTTCCAACGACAGTAAAATCACAGGAGCAATCGTCGAGAGAGGAAGAAAGGATCTGCTGTAGGAGGCCCAGCAGGCTTACAAGCGACAGTGGCGACGATGATAGCTGTTGCGGGAAAACGCTGCTGTCCTGTTGCTGTTGTGGTAGTTCGAACTCTGCCGCCCTCAGTAGTACCACCCCCTCGTATACTTCCACCTTCTCGTGCACGAGGTGCCAGTCTGCCGCAACGACGCATACGATAGCGACGACGACGACGACGACTACGACGAGGCGACAGGATTGCAGTTGTCGAGACTGCAGGGACATAGTCCTGAAACAGAGGAGGTGCAGTCCTTCGCCGAGCAGAACGCGGTTTAGTGGCAGAAGCAGCAAAGCTGTGGCTCTAGCGTTAAAAGTGAGGTCGAGCCTATCGAGACTTTTCTGTAGGCCACCCTACCTGGCGACCCTGCTCCTGCTCTCGTACAGCCTCATCAGTGTCACAGGTCAGTTTGTATTTGTAAGGTGGTGGTCTTATCTCTCTTTTTTTTTTCTTTTTTTTTTTTTTTTCCTCCATTGTGCACGCGGCGAGATTTTTGAAAACAACAAACCCCGTGTCGACCAATCACAAGCCGCGGGTGTACGTATTCGCGCGCGAAAGAGGGGAAGGTGTGTGTACAGAGCACGTGTTGTTTGTGTCGTTTGTGATTCAGGTGTGTGGATGCGAGCATGTGTTGTTATTGTTGCACTACAGCAAGTAATGCAGCTAAACTGTGGAGTTGCTGAGTTTCTTTTCTCGTGTCGTGAATTTTTTTTTTTTTCTTCTCTTTGTTTCCAATCTTGCGATGGAAAGCATGCATTTACTTGGTTCATGTGTGTGTTCCGGATGGGTATGAATTTATGCAAAGTGGCGTTTTGAGATGAATTCCCTATGCGGCTTTTTTTTCTTTCTTGTTCAAAGGAAGTAAAACTATTTTTTACACCTTTACCTGCGCGTAGTCGTTTTAAGTGACGCTCGTATCAAAGAACAGAGTAGCTCTTGCTATCGCCTTTTTTTATCTGATAGAAAATATACGGCAAAGTTTTTTCGTGTAAACAGTTAAACGAGTTAAATTTACACCCTCGCTTTTTGAATACTAATACCTAAAGTGTAAAATGTGTGGTGTAAAGCTCTGATTAGAAAGTTCCAAAATATGTGAGTGTGTTGTTGTGACCGTGATAACGATATAGTACCTCGGTATATAACCTCTTTAACATCGGTTCATCAAGCTCGTTAAATATAATATTCACGTACATACACCAATCCATATTTATTTTAGGACTCGTCGGCCTCTGGTCAGAGCTTTACTTGGTGTAGGTGTATTAATGTCGCCTTAAATGATTCAAAAGACTTTTCAACTCAGCTTGCAGCTTTACTATAAAAATGAAAAATTGCATCCTATAGTTGAACTCAAGTGACTCCTAGTTATTCTTATATTTTTGCTTGAGCAAGTGCGAGTTCATCCCGAGAGTTGCCCGCCTAATGTAATCACGTTAAAGTAAGAAACACATTGGTAACTTTGCTAGACCTGCAGTTAGTTCGTCCAACAATCAAAGGGAAACAGTAAATCCTTGTCTGCTCACGACGTGCACTCACCATCCCGCATTAATTTTCATTTTATAAATGCAACACCAACACGAACGGATTGAATTTCCCGGCGCGCTAAGATTGAAGATTAGGTATTCGGATTCTGTCAATGACGACGATCATCATCATCATCCAGCGCTGTACCGAGCCCGCATAGCACGTGCCCGCCATATATATACACCCTTAAATGAATGGAAGAGTCTTCACGTCCATCGAGAGTATACGGAATCTGCGATTGAAATCGACGTGTGGGCCATGTGTTCGTTGTATGTACGGATTTACCACACAATATACTCGCTTGCTGACTCAGGCTCGGAAAGAGTGTCCTTCTGTTGCTTTGCTCTAGTGGCGCGCGTTCCTGGCAGAATGTACGGGTGCGCGCGTGTGTGTGAATGATAACGATGGTAAAGATTGCCGGCGAAATCTATTGTTGCACGAAAGAGAGAGCGATAGATACAGAGCCCGCCCGATGGTCGTTGATATCTGGTTGGCATCGGGGTGGCCTACTGCACGTGGCGTGATCTAATCGATTCGATTGTCGTTGCCCCCTTCCCCTCTGCACTGGGGGCACGAGACTATAGGTATCGAGATTTCCCGGCACCACCGTATACACACGACCTGTACAACAGTAATGATTTATGGGTTTCGGCGTTAAAGTCAGGTTTAGGGACTCCGTGGGCGGATATCGGCTCTTGTTGGCCGGGAAAATTTATGTCGCCTGTATTCTTTCGATTCCTAAATCATTTATTGCTGCTTTCGGTGCAAAGAGCGCCTGTCACGTAATCGTGTTGGCTGTGTGTACCTTCATACACTTGCTGTGCTAAAAATACGGGAAAAATCGCGTCATCGACGAAAAAGCCGCTGCCTCGTCTCTTTGAGAGCTTAATATTCTCGGAAGAGCGCGTGCCGGTAAAAGGGAGGTATAAAAAAAAAAATAACACGAATATGTACCCCAAGTGTAGGATTGGGTGAAGAAAGAATAAGGAAGAAGAAAAAAACGCCTCGTAAAGTTAGACGGGCGATTAGGCACGCGACAGGTGCAGGTGCACCAAGAGAAAAGACCGTCATTGTCTCATTGTGTCTTTTTTTTTACAATAGAACATACATATATATCTTGTAATGTATATAAAAAAAAAAAAAAAAATCAAAAGAGATGGCTCATGTTGGTTATAATGTATTACAGATGCGTGCTCGGCGCGCTCGACACCCAAGCCACGGCCGACAGCGCCCACACCGCGGCCCAACATCACATTCCAAATGTACTCGTGTCCTCCCGACTACGCGGAATGGTACTGTCTCAACGGGGCTACCTGCTTCACGGTCATGATAGCCGACTCGCCTCTCTACAATTGCCTGTAAGTGTATTTTTTTGTTTGTTAGTTTTTTTTTGTCATTATCAACAGTATCTTTGTCTTTCAATGTTCAAAATTAGTACGATGGGTTGGGAGATGGGTGTGGGGCTCAAGTGTTACAAGCTGATTGTGGTGTAATCATTTGGAGCACTCGCAGGTCACATAAATCTGCATAATACGTATACGTTACTGGCAAACGCCGATTCACAAAAGCCCGAAAACGTAAGCAAGATCAAGGAGAGATAAATTTTAAACTCATTGTGTGTGCCTTTCTCCGCATAATCCTACCAACAGTTTTGACAGTAGCAAAACATTGGTAAGTATATAAATATATCCTCTGTAGACACAGAGAGCAGCTCATCCTCTTCCAAAACTTTTACGGTATTCTGAAACCCATCCTATACCGTACGGAAGCACAAACACGCCCTCAGTGGTACTTGTATTATTTGCTCGGTGTGTCTATAGTATGGGTATTGGTACATTGGTATATGCAGATCACATAATAAGCCTGGCGTCTCGAAAATCTCCTTAAATACGCAAAGTAATGCTACTTATATTGGGACGACTCTCATCCTCGCACACCTTGGGCCAGACAAGTCTATCCTGATTTTTGCATCTTCCTGAAAAGGAGCAGGACCTCAAACTTGACCATACTTGCGAGGATGAGAGAGAGGCGGAGTGAACGAAAGGGGAGTACACCTACCTACTGTACACACACTCACACGCAACAAAAAGACAGAGAAGGAATTTCGAAGGTTTCCTCCTCTTTTCCCACGCTGTTTGGCCGAGCCTTGTCTCTTTCTCTCGTTGTTTCTCCGCCTTTCTTCTTTCTTTCCACAAGGCGGAGATGGAGGAAAAAGAACGCCGCCGCGGTGGAGGAGGTCAGTGCGCTCATTCGGCACATCGTGCCTCGTGTCATTCTCTACATCTCCCAATTTTGCTCTCCCCCCCCCTTTCCACCTACACTATTCTCTTCTTTGCGCATACACGCGTATATTTTCTAGCTACTCCCTCTGTAATCCTTGGCTCGTTTGCCTGGGCACGTTCGAGTGTCGTTGTTTGTTGCATTGAATGCATCTACTACCAATCATTTGCCAAACTTTTCCAAAAATCAAGGGCTCACAGTATGTATGTGCATATAATTCAGAAAAATTAGAGGGGAAAAAAAAAATCAGTATTGTAAACCTAGTTTACCTACAGGATAGCAAAGGAGCCGAGAAGGATGACAAATGAACGATAAAAAAAAAAAAAGTGAGACAAAAAGAGATGCGCACCTTCTTTCATTCATTTTCCTGGGAATAATCGCTCGGCGTCATTCTCATGACGCGATAGTAGGCTCTTTCTCTTCGCCTCTCTTTGACTCGCGACGACCTTGACAAGGAAAAACTGTTGCCATCGATATTCTCCTCCTTGTATCATTGTACCAAGATAACTTGTATGATTTAACATAAACTCTGCATACATATATAAATTTGCCTTTTCTTTATTTTACAGATGTTCGAACGGCTATATCGGGCGAAGATGCGAATTCAAGGATCTTGACGGTACCTACCTGCGTGAGTATATCATGTCATGTACTTATTAGGGGCTTTGTGCCATTTTTTTTTTTTTTTTTTTTTTTTTACTGAACGCGTTGATTGTGAGTGAATGAGTCAATGTAGTGGTGGCCTTAGCAGGCGATTCATTTCCTAGTTTGTTGTCGTGACATTGTTTTCTGGCCCGACTGAGGTGACGTGCTCTGTAGTTGTAAAGGATCTGTTTAACTGATCATGACATTGAATTGCAGTATTTTTTTTTTATTAAATATTGCACAAAGATTGATATTTAAGATTTTGTTTATTGTAATAAATAAACGAAGAATGCAATTATGTTCGCAGCGTCCCGGCAACGCATCATGCTCGAGACCGCGGGTATTGCAGGAGCCGTCACGATAGCAGTATTCCTCGCCGTCATCACCTTCATATCAGTCTACATTCACTGTAAACGAAAGCAGAAGGAATTACGCATGTTAAGGTGAGTAAGCTATCCCACTCGACGTAATTTTGAGAGAAACGACAGTCTCTACTTTTGTATACAGTACAATGAGACTTACGACACTTGTCTCGGGAGTAAAGAAAAGAAGGGAAAGGAATAAATGAGTGAGGAGCTACGACAAAATTATCGTCAAACAACAGATGGACGAGGAGAATGAATAACCGTGAGGTTAACAGCCGACGTGTATAGCAGTTCTTTCTCTCTCTCTCTCTGTTTTTCTTTTCGGCAAAAAGAAATCGCCTCTCGACACCTGTTCTGTCGTCGGCTTTTTTTACAAAATAACTTTTCTTTTGAAAAAAGATTCGATGAAAAAATCATTCTTCCAAGCCACATCGTGTTGTACTCCTCAAGAATTTTTTCAATTGATTTTACAGGCAGTAATACTGATACGTAAAAAAAAAAAATTACAAAAACAACTTTTCAAATGCAGCTTCGTAATGAAGATCTAGATACAAAGTTACAATCATAAAATCACAGTAATCGCTCTTAACAAGATAATATTACACAATGTGATGCTCATAAATTCCACAACAGTATTATCAAGGCTTGTCTCTTATTTTTCTAACTTGAAAAAATATAATCATCATTACTTAACTGAAGGAAAATTGATTCAAATGAAGTTGTTATGTTGTTAATAATTTCCAAACGCAACAATACTTGATGTGAAATTGACGTTAATTTGGAATAATTTAAATAAAAGCAAAAATCATTATAATTGAAAATTGAAGGAGAAAAAAACTAAAATGATAAAAATCAAACGACCGAATTTATTAAGCGATTAGAGTCTCGTTATCTCTCTAAATAATGCAAAAGGCCGAAAAACGAGAGGGTTCGAAAAATCACACAGAGCAAGATCAAAAGGGGTTCGTAAAGAAGGGAAAGAGAGGAGGCGTTAATACAGAGAGCCCGAAAAGACGAAGAAGAAAAATAATAATAAAGGAATAAAGGAGGGGAAAGACTGGGCGGCTGCGGCTAAGAAGCGAACGCGCCTCGCAAAGAAAGAAAAAAAGACGAGACCCTTTACCGAAGCCTAGGGCTCAGAGCACGTTCCCATTTTTTTCTTTTTTGTCGCAGCTCCGGCGTCGACGCGGTGGATGGACCCGCTCGAGATCCCGAGATCAGGCCATTTTGCAGTCGCAGTCGCTCTCTCATGATATTCATGGCCAAGAATCCTAATAGCTCGGTAAGTCGATTTCAGGGAACTTGTCTCGCTCCCTCTTTCTCTCCTTCTTCCTTACCTTCTACTTCTTCTCACTGCTTCTATACCTTTTCCTTTCATCTCGTTCCTTCTTTCCTCTTCCTTTTTTTTCCATTCTTTTGCATACTTTAGTCGTTGGCTACAACCGGCGCTCCAGCGAAAAACCCATTTAACCTAGAAAGAAAACCGCTCTGGCAGCCAATTTGCCTTCTTTATTATTCCCTTTGATACTTCACTATCAAACTAAAAAGTTACATTTTTTCTGCAAAATTTAATAATACAACTTGAAGCATTTTTGGATCTTCAGCTCAATCAAAGGATCAGAGCTCTCTTTCACTCCTGTAAATTCCTTATTTTCAATGGAATAAATAATTCACTGTTTATATTTAACTAAACTATCTTTTACATACGCTTCTAATTTTTTTTTTTTTTTTTTTTTTTTTTTTTTTTTTTTTT